AGTAGTTTTACAATTTTTGATCCTTACCAACAATTGAACACGTTACATGTACGAAACCATTCATGTATTATTGTTACGTATGAAATGAAAATTGAGTTTATACATGAAAAATCATCCGCTTTTGTTGAAATTATTAAATGAGATGTAACAACACTATGAAAAAAATGTGATCAAAGAAACTCGTGAATGTTTGTACTTTACCAGCTATTACTTAGCAGCTTTTGTCGTTGACTTTTATGCTCAACATCTAAAACAAAGATCAGTAGATAATTAAAAGTCCTTGCAAATTGTAATTTTTAACATTAATTTGAGCCTGATTTAGCTCTCTGAGGTTTATCAATTTTGTGTTCTACATCTAAAAGAAGATCAGTAATCATTCAAAAATCCATGCAAATTTGTAATTTTTAACATTAATTTGAGCCTGATTAAGCACTCTGAGCTTTTACAAAAATTTACCAACTGTAAGAGAGATTTAGAGAATCTGTATATTGGAAAATGTTGAAACCTCTAACATATATATCAATGGCTTCTTATGATCCTGCACAAATCAAAACCAAAAATTTCAGTTTTATATTTTCGTCTTAATTCAACGAAGAAACCTCTTTCTCACCTTCCTAACCGAGATAGTTCAGGTTCTGCCAATAACATATCTTGCAGCGGTTTTGCATCCATGTACCTTTCACTACTTCTGCAGGAAAACAAATGAAAACAAATCTAATGAACAAGAAGTTTTTGCTTAGAAAGGACGTATAAAAGAGAGGAAATTTACTCGCAGATGTTATCGATCTTGAGTTGCTTATGATGTAGAGCGAAATCATGACCAACATAAGTCACAACCAAGCTTCCTGCATCAGGGTGAGGCCAGCTTCTTGAAATGGGGAAACGGAGTATGAAAGTTCCCGGTTCTTGGCCTTGAAGCGAATGTTCAGCTTCTTCCTTGGTGATGAATCCTTCGACCCATTTAGGAGATGAGGAGCGCCACATTCCGTTTATCAATCCCCGGGATATGGAGGAAGCAACAGGGAATAACCAACACCACATTTTCTCAAAATTATCCCGAGTTACGTACTCGCAGCATCCTGATATCTTCTTTAGAAGCTCAAAATCCTGGTTGGTGAGAGATCTGCTGCTGCATTTTGAAATCCTCATGAAATGTTCTTCGATCTCATGGAACGCACTATCCCAATGAACATGTTGATTGTTCCGAGATATCAGTATCCACACATTTGTTCCTTCCGATATTAGGTTTCTTGCCATGTTGATTTGATAGCTGAAATTTCGGCGAAAAAAAAAAAAACACTTCAATTCACAATATCCCCAAAAGAGATTCTTTCTTAATTCTCTCGTAAATGTATGGAACTTAGGATGAAATTACCAATGGTGGGAACATCCAGAATACAGAGAAACCTGGTTTGCGAAATCCAGTACTTCGACGTCTGATGAGTTGTTTGTGATGTCCTTTAAAAGACCAGACCTCTCTGTTAAGTTTCCAAGGCAGTATCTGAAGATGGTAGAATCGGAAATTGTATGTCTCATGAAATCCGAGTCTCTCATTTCTGAATCAGTTGAGAAGTAATCTTCTTTGTGGTACATAGTCACGCCATTTCCATTCTCAAACTTCTCACAGCAAACAATGTAGAAACGGTAAAGTTGATACAAGAAATGCAACCGAAAATATTGTGAAAAGAGAGATTCACTATATACCTGTTTTGAGGTTTGGAAATGAGAGTTGCATTGTTGATATGATTCGTCACTCCCATAAACATTTTCTTTACCCAACCTGACTCGTTTAACTGAGCAAGTGTTATGTAGAACGTCGAGTGATTCGGTACTTAATGGATGGTCAATGTGGATCAACCTTTTAGGACTACTCAAAATGCAACGGATTGGGTTGGTAAGAGCTTTGAGGAAAGGATAATCTTTAGCATTTGGTATTTCGAATTTGATGCAGAACAATCTGTTATCACTCTTGGAGGAAAGCTGTCAAAAAGAATTTACAACAAAAATTTCTTCTGTGATTTCACAAAAAGCGAAAAAATTGTAACCTAAATTATCAAATCTTTTCTCCCACACGAAAATCATGGAGAATCAGCATAAGGATCAAACAGAGAGTAAAATGTTGTTATACCTGAGAGATCTTGAGCTTAAAGGATGAACGTCCGTTCAATATTTTGATCGCTCTATCGTCAGCTGAGAATTCAACTCCTTCATAGCTTATCAAAAGAGGAGCCTCAGCTTCACTCGACATGGCCTCTACACGAGTCCCAGTATCGGCATACAGTAGTGAAGCAGCAACCTTGCATGTTAAACCCAATTGTGAATTTCCGAGCTAAAAAAGTAGGTAAATTAGTACCAAAAGATATGATAAACCGTAAGAGAAATGAACCTCCACATCCTTGTGCATAGGCTGGCCAATGGCATTAGATAAAACAGCATCCAAGGAAAAAATCTCCCTGCAAGATGTCTATATATAGAGCAAGAACGTAACTGTTATGACTAAGTGAGGCGAAAATGTAAATCGATACCAAGGAAAGTTTTAACGAGCTTCGGAAAGTCTGACCTTCCAAACACCATCATGGTCTAATTCAATCCCCGATGAGGATGATTTATCGACAGATAAGCATAGAGGTGGGTCCTGGCAAAAAATAGAGAAAACAAATTCAGAATGATGGGAATAAAACAGAACACAGAAACAAGAGTGTGAAGAGAAGGGAAAGACTTAAGCAGAGACCTTCGTACGGTGATGCTCCACATGATCACTAGCAGGCAAGACTTGTGCACATCGGATGAAACCGTGAACGCTATAACCATCTCCGCCAACACTAAATAGTGATATCTTTCGAGGACACTCGGGATTGTTGTTCTTGATCAGCAAAGGAGTCAAGAACTGTTCTCCTACAATCTCTCCATCGATAATAAGCCTAATGTAATTCCTAGAAACCTAAGACAAAACAGCAGAACCAGCCCATCTCAAAATCAAAATAGAGGATCTTGCATTTCCTACGAAAATCGAGCTGCTTCGGAGGAATCTTACCTCGCAACCGACATGAACCCATTTTTCGAGAGGAAACTCGGAGTTTGTAGAAACACTAGGAGCTTCTTTCCAAGAAGAAGTGTCTACAGGATCAGGAGCTTCCTTGTGAAGAAGAGTTAATGGCAAAAGCATCATCTTCTTATATTCATCTAAGACAAGGAAAGGTGCACTAAAACTCATATCTGAGTGAACCTGTTAAAGACAAAACCACTTGATCAATACGGTGCAAAGTAAACCCTTAATCAAAAACAACTAATTCGAATCAATCCTATTTCCGCAATCTCTATAGCAACAATAAAACAGAGAACTTGACTATCAAAATTGATCTCAAACACCTAAAAACCATCTCAAATTTCACTTTTTTTGTCTCTGATACCAAAAAAAAGACTAACTTTCAGAAGACAGACCTGCGAAATCAAACATATTACAAAACTAAATAGAGAAACAAAACCAAAGTCCGATGAATCACCTGTCTAATGATCGCAGACGGGAATGTTGTTGAATTCAAGAGATAAACCCAGAAACAAAGAGAGAAACTTTCGTAATCTTCGT